CATGTTTTTGGACTGTGTGAGAGGAAGCTGGAGAACCCGGAGAGAACCCACGCTGCACGGGGAGAACATGTAAACTCCACGCAAAAAGATCTCGGGTGTCCTCACCAGGATGCGAGCCGGTGACTTTCTTGCTGCGAGGCAACGATGCTAACCACTGAGCCACCATGCAGCCCGCTTTAATAGTTTATTTCTGTAAAATCCTACTTTCTGTCCAAGTATTTGTAGTTTAGTTTATTCCACCAAAATCTTACTCGCTGTCAATGTCCTTCTAGCTTTAAAGGTTTATTCCACCCAAACAGTATTTCCTAATGAATGAGCTGTGGTTCTAAAACTGCATACAGCTCATAACATAGCAGGACTTTTGTCAAAGTAAGTGCAAAGTAAGTGAATGGAAGAATAAACCAACACTTTTGCATGAACTTTGCATCATTACCGTGACCTTACGCTGAGCGTGTGAGTGTGAGCATCATGTCAGGAGCTGAATCAGGAGCTACACTTTGATTTATTCCTGTAAAAACCATTGGCAGCATTGTCCTCTTGGTATCTCTACCAGTTATAAAATCATTTGTCTCTGATCATCATCTGCTGCAGAATGAAACATGTTTGGACTCTTCTGAGCTTCAGCACAGACAGGAGTCACTTAATTACTTCATTTTGTTAATGAAATGGCTTCACGTCGAGGCCAACACATATTTTCTGCCTCCGTCAGAGAAGGATCCAGCAGAAGAAAGTCAAAAACGTAAAACCAAAGACGTTTATGTAACACAGCCGTAGCTAGTTTCTGCTGCCCTCTGCTGGTCAACTGGAGGAAACGACACTGAAAGAGTCCCAAACGTGTTTCTTCATCTTTATTCCACTAAAACAGAACTTTCTGTCAACGTCCTCCTAGTTTGAAAGGATTCTGGTTCCTGTGTGTGTTTAACCGACGTCAGCCTTCCCCATGTTTTGCTCTTACTGGGCTCGTAGTAGTGTCCCTCCATCACTCCCAGGTGCATGGGCGGCGCCGGCTCTGGAACGGCTCTCTGGCGCTGGGACGAGTAACGTTTGGCCCGGTTGGATCCGACGCCCATCTCGTCCATGCTGGAGAACTGAGGCGGGCCGCCGGGGAGGTGCAGGGGGTTGGGAATGCCTGGACACAAAGTGGAGACGTTAGTTCATCTGCAGACGTGTTTCTCTGAGTTTTATTTCAGTCCGTTTGCTCAAACTGCAGCAGTTCTGGATTCAGAGTCGGTGTTTCAGCGGTTTGTCATCGACGTTTCCTCAAAGACACTTGCACACTTTTACTCATCGTGAATTAAATTCAGCAGAAAGAAAAACGTGAACCTCAGAAAGTCCTGCAGCTCGTTTCTATGGAGCCGTTTTAAGGCTCATCTCTGCACTCTGTAAATACAACATTTACACATTTTTACACGATATGTTTTTTTTTGTATTTGTACACACTGCAAATTTGTACATTTTAAAAAAACATTGTTGCACACCAGATTGTTGTGCTGTTTGACGTGTGTGAAAAAGGTCGTTTTGTTCTCGTGAGATGACGTTAATAGTTAAAAAATAAACAGCGAGTCATTTTTTAAATCCCGTTACAAAAAGAGGCGTAAATGCGGCAGCAAGCATGCGTTAAAAGAAAACGGTATGAAACTAATGAAGGCAATAAAAAATAACAGAAAATGTCTGTAAAATAATTAAATACAGAAACAGTATATTTTCCCATCACGTTGCAAAATAAAATTATTATTAGGACATGAAAATACAGATTGTTGATGTAAACATTATTTGGTTTTTTCATTAAATATATTTTCTTTTTTTTTCTGTGATTTCACTTCATATCATCTGTAATTTAAAACAGTAAAAAGTAAAAAAGATAAAAACAACACAGAGACCGTTTCAGGTGTCTGTTGTCTTTTGTCCAACAGCCGATAACTGATTAATAACTGATCTATTGATTAATAACTGATCCACTGATTGATATCTGATCAGTGAAGCGGCAGCAGAGACTCACCTCTCATCTCGGAGCGGATGTAGGATGTCGGGCTCTGACTCCAGGTCTGTCGGGTCAGACTGAGCCGGGTCAGGTCTTGGTCCAGCTCCGTCAGTCCGGTCTGGCCTGGCCCCTCCCCTCCTGCCCAGCTCTTCCCCCCCACGCTGCCGGGGGACGAGGCGCCACCTCCGGCTCCCGACTCCTCCATGGATGCCTGTTTGCTGCCCAGGTCCGCGGGCCGGGACCGAGTCCTGCGGGCCAGCGAGTACGATTTACGCTCCACTGGCCGCTCGGTGGGAGGAGAAGCCTCCCGATTGGTCGCCGTGGCGGCCGATGACTGGGGGGAGGGGTCGGAGGTGGAGGCCGCTGAGCCGGACCTGTCGGCGCCGCCTCGCTGGTCCTGCTGCTGGCGTCTTGGTGAAGCCGCCTGGTATCCAGGCTGAGGCGATGCCGCCGTTGTCACGGCCACCGGATTGAGGTCCGGTTCTGCAGCGCCGCTGACTGCAATGTCCTCGATGACCACAGACGGACCGCCTCGCGACCCGCCTCCTCGCCCTCCCCGGCTGACCCGCTCCCCTGCTGCCTCTGACTGGGCTTTGGGTCGGTCTCGGTGCATCTGGGGCGGCTCGGCGCTCCGGTACTGGGCCTGAGGCGGGAGGTGCAGCTGGTTCTGGTGCTGGTTCTGGTGGGTCGGCCTGCTGCGGGAGGGCGGCGGCCTGGAGGGGTTGGAGCCGCGCTGAGCAGACAGCAGGGAGGACGGGGAGGAAGACGAGGGGTGGATGGACGAAGGCGGAGCAGCTCCTCCCCGGGTCGGTCCTCCTCCTCCTGGTCCGCTGTGCCAGGACCGGACCGGTCGGTCTCCGTCCCTCCACCGCTTGTCTCTGCCGGGAGACGAACTCTGTCTGCAGGAGACAGGACAGAAAGTTAAAGTCCTGCAGGTCCACAGAGGTCCAAGCAGGTAAAGACAACTCAGGCTGGTGACTGACTCCAGGATCTGTTTTATTTCAGATTCTTCTTGGAGCTGATTTTATTTTTTGATTTCTCTATTTATTCATTTATTCTATGTAGAGTTTATTACATCACTGGAATGGTTTTCTTTTTCTGTTTTTATGATTTCTGACTCTTCACTCATCTGTCCATATTACAGTAACAGATCTTTTACTGTATTTGTTTATTGATCTTAGTTTATTTCATTTTTATCTCATCTGGTGAAAGATGATGATTATTATTGTTGTCATGAGGAGTTAAACTAATTAACAACTGTTTGAGTGAGCAGTGTTGGTTTTCATTACTAAGACATTCTGTAGAAAAATGTTCAGTGTACAGATGATGTGACACCAGTAATCAATCAATCAATTAATTAATGAATTAATCAATTAATTAATCAATTAATCAATCAGACCTGGGTCGGCGCTGCCTGAACGTTCGCTCTCCTGAACTGCCGCCGCCGTTCCTGATGTCGTATCCGTAGATGGCGATGAGCTCCTCGCGGCTCTTGGGCGCCTGCTCCTCCTCCCTGAACTTGTCGTGCTCCCAGCGGCCTTCGTCCTTCCACAACTTCCTGTTTCTGCCTTTGGGTCTGAGAGACGCAGGTAAAGACACGTTCATCTGAAAACCTCCGACTTCCAGTCAGTTTTAAAACCGTGAACAGGCAACAAAGTCACAGGAAACACTGAACACTAAAGAGACACGAAACAACAAAAATGCGACACAATATGATCACAGAGAGAGGAAACTGTCCCAGAAATAAAAAATCTGTCGTATGTGGGGACACAAAAACCGCAGAGAGACAGGAAACAACAAAAAGAAGACACCACACAACACGAATGAGACCAAAAACAAACAAAACACGGCACAAAATGAGGAAAAAAAGACAAAACAAAGACACAAAACCTCACAAAAAGACACGTAACAAAAATAAGACCTGAAACAACCCAAATCATAATAAACACATTTAAATCAAATGAGCACAAAGAGAGAAAGACAAAAGAGCCAAAGACACAAGAAATGACCAAAACAGGACAAAGCCAGAACTGATCTAGATCATCCGACAGAAGCTGATTTCGATCCGTTTGTTAACTTATCTTTATAGACTCTTCAGGCTGATGTTCAGAGATTCAAACAGACAGAAATCTTGCTGTTAACTATTAAAATGTTAACTCGGTACCTCTCCTCCTCCTGAGTGTGGCCTCGGACGTCGTGCTCAAAGAACAGGCCTTTCCTCGGGATGTAAGCCGGGTTCTTCCGGTCCTCGTCGTCGTCCAGCTGCTGACCCGGTTTCCCTCCGGCTTTCGTCTCCGGATCGTCCGTGGACTCCTGATCGGTTACGAGAACAAAAAAAAAAAAGCAACGATCAACTCTCTGGAGATACATGGAACACTTTAAGCAGCCAAAAACGACGACGGGCTCACATGTCAGCCGTAGATAATAACAGTTCAGTCTCTGGGCTCACCAGCAGAAAACCGATTAAATCATCATTTGGTGGAGGTTCAGAACAGGAATCCAGAAAAAAATCAGCGGTTATTGAGGCTCAGCAAACAAACATGACTAAAGTTGTCTTTGGGGGTCAAACTTCAAAAAATCATAACTTAAAGGAAGAGGGAAGAAATATTTACAGAAATAAATACAGTTTATAATCGTGTATTTATGTTTTCATGTTATTTATTTCAGTTATTTTGGTGAGCTTTGAGAACTGACTGAGCAGGTTTGACAAGTTGTACCACAAAAACTAAACTACTCAGGCACATGGTGTCGTTTTCACACATTCAGCTCATCGCTGTTCATCTGGACCGACGTCACGATGAGACACACGAGTGAAAAGTTCAGGTTTTTATCTTCAACAGTTGCTGAGATATCGTTGTTAAAACAGCCTCAAATTTCAAGGTGTGATAAAACCTCACTCTCCACTGTCCTCTCTCTCTCCCCCTTTCATTCTCTAGCTGTGCTCGCTCGCCCTCGATGAAATAATGTCTCTCAGATGTTGGTCTGTCTGTCTTTGTGGGGACTCACACCAACACTGCAGGGCGGTACAAGAGGTCTTTGCAAGTCTGTTCCAAAGTGAGGACCAGGCTACAGGTCCTCAAAGACACAGAGATGATAACAATGCACATCCACATGCTCTCATTTAAGTGTTGGTTTGTCTGTCAGAGACTGTATAAAAGATGGACGTAGCAACCGGCCCTGAAAAATGAAGCCAACC